ATCACAGAGGTAGGAAGAAGCGCACTACAAGGATTGAAACTACTAAAGTCGCTACTTTATTTCATAATTTGTAGTGTAGTACGATACAAAGAAACAGTAGTTTGTAGCAATTTCTTCCAAATACTTTTACCATTAATTTAGTAAAGTAACAAGGTTCTATTTGAACAAGTTTTTAAAATTTAAGGGGTACACACCTTTGTGGGTCCATCAAGGGATGCAATAAAAAATGCCCCGGTGGCTGCGACTGAGCGTTCCACAAATGCCACGACTTACCTAGATGACGTCACTTGCAGACATCCAATTCAATTACTATTTTTTTGTTATTATTTATTAATATTTAAGTTTTTATTATTTTTTTGCTTTTAACTGTGATACAAATTTTAAGTCGTATTTTTGTTCAATCAACAAGTATATAATAATTACAACTGTAATTTTTTCTGCAATGGTATATTGATATTTTAATAACATAAAGTTTTAATTAATAATAATAAAATTTAATTTAAAAAATTCTTATATTACTAATAATTAATAAATTTAATTAATTATTTGTTATAAATTTAATTTATTATTTTATTACTTATTAAATTTATTTAATGAAATTTTTTAATAATTAATAAAAAATTTAATTAATAAAATTTAATAAATAATTATATAATTAATACTACATTTTTATTTCAGCCTCTGATGAATTTGAAAGCTTAAAAAAAAGTTGTTCCAGACTTCCTGATGCTTATGGCTGTTTAGGAGTTCTACAAATGTATCAAGGTAAACTAAGTTGCTGGTTGCCTAAAAAGACTGGCTAAAGTTTTCCTTTTCTTTTTTTAAATAATGGTCTTTAGTTTTAAAAAAAAGTGGCTTTTTGAAGGAAAAAAATTCTTAAAAACTGTTGTAAGATGAAAGGGACATAATATTGTTTATTAATCACAGTTATTTGGATGTTTAAAGCAGTATATGAGCACTAACAACAATTTTTTCTTGACCCCAATTGGGCTCAATAAGGGTCCTACACGAAAATCCGCCAAGAGACCAATATTGGAATGCCTAGATTTTTTAATACAAGGCCAATATCTGCCTATGTACGGCGAATATAGGGCCTATATTGGCCAAATAAAGAATCTAAAATGTCGAGTGAATCTGAAAGCTCTATCTAGGGCCGATATTTGTTGTAAAATGGCAGTAAAATATTGGGTGAGCTGTAAAATTCTACATAGGGCCGAAATCGGAAAATAATGGACCTTTGAACACTTATTGAGCTAAGATTTGTGAATATCGGTCCAATGAAGACCTGAGTTATTTTGCTGCTAGGGGAGTAGCATTTTTGCACATCTTTCAAAACAGTTAGAATAATCTGCTAAATATCTGTAAAAAGAGTAATATCTTTCTCGTCTTTGCATTCATTGACATTAAATTGATAAACAATTTCTTCGTTTGTCGGAAATATTGAGAGGGACTTTTAGAAGTTTCTAATAATTGGGAGGGCATATATCCACTTTGCCCCCTTTCCCGCTAACGATGTCCGTGTTCTGGAGCTCTTTAAAGCACAGTTAAGAGTAATTGGAGTATATTTTAAATATGTTGGAATTAATCTTGAGTAAAAATTTTTCAGTTTATAGTAAATCGGAGAAGCCATTGCTATAATTAATATTAATTTATCACTATAATTAATATTAATTTAGTTACTTACATAATAAATACTCTTAAGAAACCATGTTAAATAAATAAAATGCAATTGGGAGAAAAATTAAGAAAAGAAAGGAAATTTAAGTAAGAAAATATCCATTATAGTAAAATTAATCTGTACCGTAAAACTATCTTAGAGCAAAAGATTTAATGTAGTTCCTTTGTTTTTTTTCACTGTTAGCTACCACTACTTTTTTTTTTTTTTTTAAAAATTTAGTTTACTACAGCTATTCATTTAAAGGTAAATGTCACTGACTACTTTTGAAGTGTAGTCACTACTATTAGGAGAAAAAATTTTACTGGCGCATTCCATTTACACTCCTGTTCAAAATTTTGAAAGTTGAAAGAAAAAAATTTGTAAAAAATGGCTTATAATTAGAAATTGGTGTACTTAAACCGGAGTAATTATTAAACATGCTATCTATGTTTTTGTGCACCAATATATTGCTCCACTCCATTTTGTTTCTTTGTTTTTTAATGATTTTATTAGCCCTTAGCAGTTCATGTAACTTGTGTCTGGGCATCATCTGAAAAAAAAATAATAAAAATTAATTTATAAGGTGGAAATAAAAAACTTACATGTTCAACAATAAAACTAAGTTCAGTGAAAATTTTGAGTATAGCTGCGTGGAGGGAATTATCATTGCACTGAGTTCCTTCCAAAACGGCGATAGCACAATACATACCATATATTTAGTGACTATTTTGATCACGGCAATTTACTAATGTTAATTACATTTTTATTAATGCAAAATGTGTCATCTATTTATTTTACTAGCACATGCAACACAGTGTATATGGCTACAAACACAGAAAAGCACTTCTAGATTTCTTGAAAATAATTCTTTTTTACCAAAAATTATTATGCAAAACTGTTTTTTTTTTTAAACTCAAAATTGCATAAAATGTAACCACTGTTAGGATTTATGAATTCATAAGGATCATAGTTTATAACTTTTAAATTTACCAACGTTAATTACATTTTTATTAATGCAAAATATGTCATCTATTTATTTTACTAGCACATGCAACACAGTGTATATGACTGCAAACACAAAAAAGTACTTCTAGATTTCTTGAAAAAAAAATTTTACCAAAAATTATTATGCAAAACTGTTTTTTTTTTTTTTTTTTTTTTTTTAATTNTTTCTGAGAAATTTTTTTTTTTTAATTTTTTTTTTAAAAGCTCAAAATTACACAAAATGTAACCACTGTTAGGATTTATGAATGCATGAGGATCGTAGTATGTAACTTTTAAAGATCTTAATGCAATCCAATTTGCATGAATATTTCCCTCGTCTCTAACTTTAAAAATTAATGTGGTCTATGGTTTTAACTTTTTGTAGTTGTCTAATTTTTATAATGTAAAGATTTTTTTGCTTAAACTCGAAACGTTATTTGACTTTTTTCTGTAGTATTTCCCTCTCTCAATTTAAACTCAAACATGTTAAAAGAATCTTACGATTTTTTTAAAATTTTACATATATTTGTATTTGTGATGAATTTAAGACATTTATGAATGCAGGCTACAAACACCAAAAAAGCACTTCTGGATTTCTGAAAAAAATTCTTTTTTTTTGTCAAAAACTATTACGCAAAACTTTTTTTATAATCAAATTTGCACAAAATGTATTCAAAATGTAACCATTATTAGGATTTATGGATCCATAAGGATCATAGTTTGTAACTTTTAAAGATCTTAAAGCAATTCAATTTGCATGAGCATTTCCCTCGTTTCTAACTTTAAAAATTAATGTGGTCTATGGTTTTAACTTCTTGTAGTTATCTAATTTTTCTAATCTAAAAATCTGGAAAAATTATTTGATTTTTTATGCAATATTTTCCCCTCTCAATTTAAAAAACCAAACATGGTAAAAGAATCTTACGATTTTTTTAATTTTACTTATTGGTATTTATGGTGAATTTTAAAAGACTTTTATATGAATATAGGTGATGTGACAATTTCTTATCTTGTGCTGGTGAATAGCTGCCTCTCAGTTGGCAAAGTTCTAGGCAGTGAAATATTCCGAGTAACTGAAACTAATTTCGTGTCTTTACGCAACAATCCCATGGATATTGAAAGAATACAAGAAGTTCGTAAAGTTTTGAATTCTGGCACCTTCTACTTCTCCTGGTGTACCAGTGGCCGGCCTCTCGATTTGACTCTCTGCGAACAACGGGCTCATGCATCTAGTGAATCAGATAACAGATTTTTTTGGTAACATAGTTATCCTATAAACTTTTAATTTATTTGTTAATATAATATAAATTAAATTATAAAGACTCATTATTTGAATATTTTAATGAGACTGTAAAAGTTTTTTTTTTAAAAAAAAAACATTAATTTTGTAAAAATATTTTAGTTATATAGTCAAATCCCGTTTTAGTGAAATCCAAAATAACGAAAATTTCAACATAACAAATATTTTCCGTATCCCCAACTGAATCTCCATAGAAACAATAAATTAAAATTACCGATATTACAAAATTCTTAATCCGATTTAATGACAGTGAAAATAAGCAATGATTCTCATTTTCTCTCATGTTCATAACACTTTTCCATTCTTCAAAAGTACACAATGATCTCAGAATTCAAATATTTAAGCATCTTCAAAACAAAAAGTTTCAGATATGAAAGGAACATATCAAAATAGAGGAATCACTCGGAAGGGACCCCCATGAAGAAACTAAACCCCAACCCATTCATGTTTGAAGAAGTAAAAATACATGTGGCTTTTCAAGAGAGTGGTTTTCAGTTCAGTTGTTTGAAAATGAGCAAAATTTGGAGAAGTTTGTAATTTCTATTGGTTCTTAAATCATTTGTACTGAGAAAAATAGGCCGGGATAGCCTGGGCGGTGGGGCGGTGGGCACATGTCCGAGAGTTCGAACCCCGCCGGCCAATGACTCCCCTTGTAGTAAAGTGACTGATGCACATTACATCTGTCGAGTCGCAAAATTCCTCCATGTTCCCATAACAAATCAAGACCTCTGGGGGTACTGGATTGGATATTGATTGTTCTCTGATTCAGGTAAAAATTACGATCTGCGGATGAATGAATGGATCCGCCCTATAAAACGGGTGTGACGTTAGGTGTGCCAGAAGTCGTGTTCTTGGCCATAGATGGCGCCACTGAAAAACAAGGAACGCACACTCCGCCTTAAATTTGCTCAGTTTCACCAAGCAGGTTTGCCCGTGTGGCAAGTGGCATTAGAACCAATCAACCAATTGAGAAAAATTACCGATTACGTAACTTCTGATAGGTAAGTGATAATAAATAAATAGTTCCTTTTAATTTAATTGTTTTGTGAGCTTTTAAAATATTGAATTTATATTTTTTAAATGTAGAGTACAAACAGATCAAACCTGTGATTAAATGCAATATTTATTTTTTTACGCGAAAAATTTCAGTATAACAAAATAATTTTGTTTAATGTTGAAATTTGTAATATCGGTATAACGCATTTTCGTTATTGCGCAGTGATCGCTTCGGTTCCTAGGAATTCCTTAAAGCAGGATTCGACTGTATATCTTTTTAAATATACTTAAAATTATCTATATAATATATATAAATATATTTAAAATGATCTATATCTGGTTAGTAATAAGGAAAAAAATACCATTCGGTATCCACTCTCAGGGATCTGTCCAGACCAAATTTACTACCGTTTAGCGGTACTTTCGCAAGTTCAAATTTAGGAAAAACGGTAGTTTCACGAAATTCTTTTTCTCAAAATTTTTTTTTGTATCCCATAAGAAATGAAAAATTCATATTTTTGTGTTGATTTTTTAATATAATTTTTAATTTTCACAAATTGCATCTAAATTTTCACAAAATAGGTACCTTTCAGAAAAACCTAGACAGACCCCTGACTCTATCAAACTTATCCAGACATTTTTTACCAGAAAAACCTGAAACTCTACCTGAAAATTTTGGAGAAATAACTTTTCATATGGATCATCCAGTGGCAAAAACTTCTATCTACGTTTTTAAACTGTCACGGCACGTCCCTCTGTTAATATCGCGAAATAGAAGGAGCATGTGACGCAGGGAAGTGGGATGAGAAATGAGGAAATATAACTGTACTTGCTCCACTTTCATTCCAATTCTGTGTGTGTCTCAAATACGTGTTTCTGGAATTAAAAAAAAAAGCTATAAGATAATATGTATACAATATCATACATTTTTCACCTTTAGCAATAGCCTAAGATACTAGTCTTTTTTCTTTTGCATAATTTAATAATAATGAAAAGTATGAATTTTTTAACTGTTTCTTGTTGATTGTAATTTATTTTTTATTAATAATTTTGAGAGACTCACTCAAGTTTTAACCAGCTCTCATATTTAACTAAGAAATTGCCATAGTTGTTATACTCTTTTTATAAGTTCAACTGTATTGTTGGGATGTTTATTTTATGTATCATGATGCTTTCAATTCATGTATCATGGTGCGTAGTGTTTTTAAAAAGTACTTATTTTCATTTTTTAAAAGCCCTTAAGGTGCTTTTTTTAATGGGTGTTTTTAAAAAGTGCTTAATTTTTCCTTTTTGAAAATGAGATTTTTTCTTTACCGTATCGATTTTCGTCACATAATATGCAAAGTTGTGCTTTTCACATTGTTCTATTCGACATTTTCACAATTTATTGAAATGCAATGCATTTCGGCCTATAGCGTATGAAAGCGCCAATCATTTTACATGCTTGATGAAATATTGATTGGCTAGCATGTGCGTATACTGAGCTCTGTTTGGTGAGATTCATGTCACTGTCATGTGCAACTCAGCATTTTGCTAGATATTCTCAATTTCAGGCTTCATTTTCCACCCTCTGAAATTGAACCGAAAAATCTCTCGATATTTTTATGGTGGCTAATATAATCAAAAAAAGACATCTTTATCAGAAACTAGTTATTATATTATGATCATGTAAAGTCTTTGAAAATTATTTTGCATTTTTTATTGTATATAGTGCGTAAAAATATATTTAGTGCTTAAAAAGTACTCAAAAGGTGCTTATTTTTTGTTGAAAGATTTGGCTATGCACCCTGATGTATGCTTCATTTTGTATTTAGGAATAAGACAATGCACATTAATTTCCTTACTAATGGTATTAACTGTGATGAGTGGCTGCTCAAAGTTATTTGCGGTGGCATTGAGATTCGCACAATTTATGTGGGACATTTACAAGCTCGTGGCTGCATTATTTCAAGACTTAGTTCTGAGAGGGCTGGTACCCGATTTAACGTAAGAGGTACAAATGATGATGGTTGTGTGGCAAACTTTGTAGAAACAGAACAGGTTAAAAACTTTTCATATGAATTTTTACTTTTATTTTTTTCTGTAAGCATGTTAGTTATGTCGAATTTCAACATTTCAGGTCATATATTTGGAAGACAGAGTTTGCTCATATGTACAAATTCGGGGATCAGTTCCTTTATTTTGGGAACAGCCAGGCTTACAGGTAATTTATGTTGCTGTGTATTTGAAATGTAATGTATTTTTATTATTATAATTCATAAGCATTTTTTCTATTTTTTGTTACAGATTGTTTTACTTGTAAATTTTGAAACAGTCTTGGGTTTAGCTATCTGTAGTTTAAAATCTAGTTTGTTTTAGAAAGAGCTAAATTAATTGCAATTGAGCATTTTTAAAAGAAGACACAACTATCATTTAGAAATTTAGGGAAAAGTGTTTTCAATATATTGAAAGTTGGTCACAGTTGAAAATGAATGTGTATTTAAAAGAAACAAGCTGATTGAGAAGAGGACTCATTAATTTTTATCAGTTGCATTGCTACAGATGAAATCTTTATTATACATAATTTAATTACATACTTCATTTAATTCATAAGATGGCTGTCAAAATTAGCATCTTTGATTTATTTTTCCAAAATAAAATGCTCTTATATTCAATTATTAAAAATTATTAAGTATGTGTATCTTTTTTTTAAAAATCAAAACTGGTTTGTAACCCTAAAAGAGAAATATATGAACAGCCTATACATATCTACACAAATCTTAATTGAAAATAATATTGCATGTGAACTGCTGCATTTTCAATAAAAATATTTAAAAATATACCTCAATTTAAACATCATACCTTTTACAAAAACAAAAATATTAATAAAACTTTTCATCAAATGAATTTTACAGTTGTAGAATCTGTAAATGAGTCCGAAAGTGTCATTTTTTATTCCAAATATTGTTCAATAAAATGTTTTAGACTGTTGTTGATAAAATTTTCTCTACTACCAAATTAAAAAAAAAAGAGTGAATTCATATGATTAAGCTTGAAATATTATCTATCTTTTTAGATCAGTATTGTTTCAAATTATTTATATTTTGCTTCATATCAATTTTATTACACCATATTTAAAATATTCAACAAATTTAAAAACTCAGAGTTAAAGAGTCATGTTATTGGTATTTAAATCAAATTGCTGATATCAAGAGTTAAATGAATACAATTAAAGAGTTGAAATGATGAATGAATTAAATTACTGATTTTATCAGTTTTTTAAGAAGAATTTTTTAATAGTAGAGAAGCCAAAATGTAGCAAAAATTATTTTTGCAATATATTTTTGAAACAAAACTCGAGAAATTTTGCAATATATTTTTGAACTCATACTAAAATTCTGCTTGGCTTTAAACACTTGGTTATTTTTTATGCATTCAAATATAGAAAGAAATTAATTTTATACATTAAATCATAAGCTTTGATTACTGTATGCAAATGATTTTGTAAAGCATAAATAAATATTTTACAATATTTCAACCACATTATCACATTTTAAAAAAAAACTTATCTCTATGTAATTCCATTTGTAAGTACAGTCAAACCTGAATATCTCGAACTTGTAGGGAGAGGAGAAAAAATTCGAGATACCGAAAATTCGAATTATCAAAAATCGCATGTTATCGATGGTAGAATAAAGAAAAATGCTCTTTACATACCTTATTTGCTATTCATATTTATTCTAAAAACACCTTTACACTTAAAAAGATTCAATTGTTTGCTTTAGAGATGTGTAAGAAAGTTTGTCTATAACACTTTCTAAGTAGATTATAGCTTTAAATGTCTCCTCTGACATATTCGACTGCCTCTCAATAAATCTCCGTACAGTGTCCACTGCGGAAAGTGCTTGTTGAAAATTGGTTATGATTATGAGAATTGGTTTTCTATTTTTAAAAATTTTTTTTTAAATATTTTTTTTACTTTCAGAAAAAAAAATTACACTATTTATGGAAAAAAATTCAAGTTATCGAGGGATTAGAAAAAAAAAATCGAGATATCAAGTTTTTTTTAACATTGAGTGTATAGGAAACTTGAAGGGAATTTTTTTTTCGAGATATCGAAAAATTCGTGAAATCGAGGTTCGACTGTATACTCTTTTTTTTTACAATTACATTAAAATACTTAAAATCTGCTCGTTGTAGTTAGTTTAAATCTAAAAAGCGTTAATATTCTATGTTTTATATGAAAATGAGGATATAATAGTTAATAATAGTAAATCATACAAAAGTAATGATATTATATATAGGGCAATTCCATATGTGACGGAATGACATTTTGACTTGCATGATGACAATTAATGGACAATTACAGTCAATTTTTTTAAAAATTTTAATGCATTCAGAATCCCTCAAAACTCCCAGAAAACATTTTATTACTTTCCTAAGAAGGCTATTTTTTTAGTTATTTTTAATCAAAAAACGCTTACTTCCGTTTTCACCTGAAACGGGGAGTCACGTGATTATTCACGAACTGACGTCACATGTGTCCATCTGCCGTTCACTTACAATCGCTGTGCTGTGAAAGTCAATACGTTCTTGCTTTCGTTTGAATTTTCGTAATTAAATCCAACTATTTTAGGTGGTCAATAACTATCTGTATAAAAAATTGCACCCTAATATTGCTTAATAAAAATGTGGGTTTAATATAACGTATTTTTATAATGTTAAATTTCAGTGGTACCCACTGAAACATTGTTAATAGTTGACGAAATTTTCTAGCTCTGTATATTTCAGATTTTTCAGTTCAATAAAAAAAGTTTGTGGCATTGCTTATTAAATGATGCGTTATAAATACAAAATAACTTTCGCTTTTTCATTTTTTTAACCATATTAATCTTAATTTTAATGTATACTTCAAATTCATTTCGAAGATTTATTTTCATCTCAAGTGAAAGAAGTATTGGATCAGTTTTTTATGTAGAATAAATAGTTTTAGATTTTAAAATGTAGGAAAGCTCAAGTTATTGATATTTTATAATTATTTATTCTAGCGTGAATTCAAAGCATGCAATTGTCTTCAGCGTAGCAATAGCCTTTTAAAAAACTTGTGATTCCAGCAAAACTTTAAATTCATTCTTTCAACAAAAAAACTTAAAGTTAAAAGGAAAATTTTTTTTATTTTCTATTCCAGTAGATTTTACTAACTTTATTTTAATTGCCTTAATCAAGAAGAGTACTTGAAATCAAGAATATGCATTTATTTAGTTCTTTATTACAGAAACGGGAATTCAATTTTATAAATGCATATAAAAATAATTTTTCGCTATAGCAAAGTTCCTATTTACTCAAAGAATAAAAATATCAACATTATTGTATATCTTTTAATTATTTAATAAATAGTGAAGAATGTGAATTAGAATTTCTTCCCATTTTGTATAAGTTAATTTTTTATTATTGTTTAGGCCCCAGTGTCTCTGTAGCTCACCATAATTGTTCTTTAGCTTTAGTGAAACAAAAACTTCTAGCTTAATGATATTCGCTGAAATTTTGTGGATAAATGAGAAATTAAGTGAAATTATAAATATAACTAGAATACTGTCAAGATGATGGTCAGATATATTTCAATGGACTAAATTCTTGAAAATGTTGATACGTTTTCGGCAATACCGAATGCTCAATCTGAGATTTTAATTAAATTACATTTTTTTAATTAAATTAAATTAAATATTTTAATTAAAAATGTATAATGCATTAATTTTACTGTTTGAGAAATCTTCATTGCAAGCACTGACAAATAGTTTGCAAAAATAAGGAGAGCAGTGAACTATAGTCATACTTTGTTAATACTATATTGCAGAAAAAGAAATTAAAATTTATAAATTTAAAAATAAATTCTAACTGTAACGAAATTCCTATTTACGCAAGGAATAATAAATATAAGCGTTAATGTGTATTTAAATATTTAATACATATTAAAAAAAAGATGACATAAACTGCATTAGTAAATATTTACTTAAAAAGAAAATCCTTCAACTCTAGTAATAAATAAATAAATAAAAGAAGCAACATTAAATTACATTTTTTGAATTCTTGAACATTAGCACAATGATTGTAACGGTGATGGACTGCTATTTTTTCAATGGACTAGATTTATGAAAATACTGATTTGTTTTAATGCAACAACGAATTATAAAATCATCCATCCTATATCTAAATGTATGCTATTTCTATCCAATCTGCGACTTATTTTAATTAAGTAATTAGGCTGCAATGGAGCATTATTTTAATTTAAAAGTAAGTGAAGTAAAATAGTATTTTCTAACACCACTGATTTCAGCCGAAAAGAAATGTTGATTCGCTGTAAAGAGTTACATAATCATTTCTTCAGATATTTTAATGATAAATAACAACGTTTGAAGTTTTAAAATCTTTCTTTCATTTTGCACACACTCTCAGAACCGTAAATTTAATTCACAAAATTTTTACTGATAATTTACAAAGGATGTTCATACGATATACGTGATATCAAAACTAAAAGAGCATTGAAATAGCCTTAGCGGATGGAGACGGCACGTTTCCCTTCGGCACATTTGACGTCATAACCAATCAGGGGTCGTTTTTGATTGCATCACTTACGGAGGCCTTTTGGGGCAATTTAAATGTTTAATAACTAAATAAATTAACATTTGCCGAAAAAAACAATCAGATTTTCGGTTTCAGGGGAGAATTTCCAATAAGTTAGGTATGAAAATAAAAAAATTTATGATATGCTGTAATTGTC